AGTTCTCTTCGGATAGCTAACCTCGCTGACTGAATACTAATGTGCTCAATCCGAATTTTTTTCCAGTGAAAATGTTATTTTCAAGTATTATTGAAGTTAAGCATACAAATTGAATTAAATTTTTCTAAATCAAATGTTTTACAGGATGTATATAAAATTACGAAAGTACTCATTTGTGATAAAATTTTCATTGAAAACAAGTTTACAAATCAAAAATGGTAATTTTTTTTAACGTATACCTGTTTCGGTATCATATTGGTTCACCTTCATCAATAGGATAAATGGCACGGAGGATAAAAATTGAAGTGATCGACGTCACACTAAATAGATAAATATTTAGCTTAAACGAGAAATGTTATATTGGCAGCAAGTGTTCGAAAATTGAAATTTAAAAGTTCCGAATATTTGAAAAATATAGTGTTCACGTTATCAAAAACATAAAAGCTCTATTGTTAATGATCTTGTTGCCGTACCATATTTTTCAAAAGTTTCGAAATCATCAACTTAACTTTAATATTTCTAACAATTACTGTCAATTTGGACTGGGCGATGCTAAGATTTTGGCATCGAGATGTATCGTCCCGCTAACATAGCGATATTTTGATGCATCGTAATGTTTCGGTGTAATAATGTTTTATATTTAGTAGGGGAGAGTGGGGTCAATTGTAACATTTTTTACTTAACTATTTTTAACTAACAAAAAATCCATGTGGTTATCAGGAAAGTACNTCGAGATGTATCGTCCCGCTAACATAGCGATATTTTGATGCATCGTAATGTTTCTGTGTAATAATGTTTTATATTTAGTACTGATAAATTGCATTTAAAAAAAATAATAAACGATGTATTTTTTAAATAATTATTTCTCAATACTTAAAGACATGGATGTCTGCAAAATAGCGGTTAAAAACATTAAACAGCTGGATTGATTGAAGAAAATCAACAGAATTTGCACAAACTCAGGATTTGCACAACACTTAGATTCTCAATCACATTTGGATTCATCATGTCAACAAAACCATGAGTCATGATGTAAAAAAATCGGGGAAAGATAACGATCATCGCCACAGCTATCACTGCACACATAGGGAGGAAATTACTCTTGACGCGAGCTTGCAGACCTCGATTCACTGTCGGAAACAATCAATGCGTGTAGACATCGATGTTAATGATATATCAGGAAATATCGTACTCATCTCAGTAAATCCCAATTTCCGATGCATCGTAAAATTGCCAATCGAAGCATCGGATCGGCGATGATTGTATATAATCGATATTTTTTCCGATGCATCGATTTATCACTTAGTCCTAGTGTCAATATAACATTTTTACTTTGAAAACTGTATATTAATCTTTTTAGTGCGACGCTGAATTACATTATCTCTGTTTTATCATCTCTGCCGTTTATTCTACTTATGAAGGTGTACCAATGTGATACAGAAAAGCATATAGGGTTTAAAAAAATACCCCTTTGTGTATTGTTTTTACAGAAATTTAATTTTATCACAAAATATTACTCTCGTAATTCTATATACACCCCCTTGAAACATTTGATTTATAAAAATTTAATTCAATTTATATGCTAGCTCTGGAAAAATTTCCGAATCAAATTACGGTAAAAATTACGGGAACTCAGGGTGCCGCTATTTTTTATCATGAAATCCGAGACAAGTTACGGGACAAAAAGTCTGATGTACTGTAATTTTACAGTAACACTGAATCACTCTAATTAAATAGATATTACTGTAGAAATTACGTTATAATATTTTAGGATAAAAATGATGCACCCTAAGTGCCAGTACTTTATACCGTAATTCGATCCGGAACTTTTTACAGTGTGAACGAATTTATTTACCCAGATTCGAGTTGGAAATTTTAATCAAAAACTGCTTACAATTGGAAAACAAGCTAAGACTAAAGAAGTGATTAAAAAAACCTTGCTTTTTTTTAAAGAAAAAAATCTTAAAAATTTTTTTTCAATGTCATTTCTTAAAATATTAGTTTTAATGTGAAAAATTAATAAATTTTGTATGCGATGACACATTATTTTAATAATTAACATTCATAAAAATAATTGTTTCGACTGAGAAAATGTCTAAACTGAAGCATGATTAATTAAACACATTTTTTGTGTTGAAGGCATTATGGAAATGAAAAAACTTGCTTGCATCCAACAAATGACCTTGTTTTTTATTGATAAGAAATTACATTATATAAATAAAAAAAGATAAGTTTTCTATTTATGTATTTTTTAAGTGGTCATTATTGCTCAGACATTAAGCACTCGGGAGAAAAATATTCGAAATATTTGCAACATACATCATTAAAGCTAATATTAAATATTGGCAATAATTTATATGACTTGAGATTTATGCCAATTACAAGAGCAATAAATATGTTTTCAGAAGAATTTATTAAAAGTCTAACTTTTTTGCTCTAATATAAAATAAATTATGATTTCTAACTGACTGGTTCTTTGTTTTTGGTAGGAAAACGCATCATTTTTTTCTTTGTTTACTTAAGATTTTTATGTTGTAAAGAAGCATTAAAATTTTGCTAATACTTCTGTACACTGAAATAATTCTGGATTGAATTACATTAAAAAGAATTGACACTCAGGGTACTAATACTTTTTACTATAAAATCCATTTTCACCATAAAATTTTATAGAGCAAAAAATCTGATATACCGTAATTATTGTAGTAATATTTATTGTAAAATCACTGAATCACTCTAATTAAAAAAATATTACTGCAAAAATTATCGTTTAAAAGTTTACTGTAAAAATTGATTTTACGGTGAAATGGATTTTAAGGATGCACTTTTTATCATGGTTTGATCCAGAATTTTGTACAGTGCAGCGGCTCAGAAAAAAAATGTGAAGATGAATAATTAAGAATTAAAATTAATTTTTTAATCCACAATTTTTTTTGGTAACCTCAAATATTTAAGAATTTTCATTGTTTAAACTGTTTTATAAATAGTTCTTCTTTAAAAAAGGCAAACATTTTTCATAAATTATTTTCCAGTCTTAATATCTATTTGTATATGAAACTTCAGATAGATTAGAACTTTTGAGTATCTCTATATATAGTTGTAGGGTAGTAGTATTTCGGCTGTATATACCGGATACTGGGTGATCAATGAGGTAACCGATACATCTTTAATCAAATGTACAGATTAATATATTTTATGAATCAAATATTTATCTAGTGTGAAGTTCGACTTTTTACGAAATTTTCAAAGATAATTGATTTATGTAATTCCAAACTATGATTACAGCCAATTGCTCCAAAGATATTCGTTTTGAATTTTTTTAAGTAATCAGTCCAATAAGTATAATTATGAATAATGATTCTAATAATTGTTTTAATTACAATTAATTAATTCAATAATTTTTTTTCTATTAATTATCCTATTGAATCTCTTACAAACCAAACCTATTCAAGTGATAACAGTGCAAATATATTATTATATTAATTACCCGTTTGAGTTAGTAAGTATAAAGCTCCCATGGGATTTGGATAATAGTGTTAACGAATTTCCTCATTCATTTATTACATTTTTGACGATTATCATATTTAAATGTTTCCTAGACCCGTGAGAATACGCTTAATAACTACATAGTCAAAATACTAACAGGTGATTTATCGCACATAGCCAAACCTATCCATAATGTCGTTATCACTTTTCAGTAATTTTGAAACTCTTCCCTCTCTTACGATATTATTTACAAAAACTTTTCTCCTCCACATAAAGATATCGTTATCTGTGTTTATTTAATTTTATTTTTACTTTTTCTTTCTTTTTTTTATTTCTTTCGCTCATCGAAATCCATTTAAATATTAAATTTGTAGTAGATATAAATAACTTTCTCACGTTTTCATAATTTAAATGTATTTAAATTTAATTATTCTCATTAACTCACATCACAATACTAATTTGGTATTTCATCTGAAAATTAGCGCGTCTCACGTGCTGTTGCAATCATTTTTGACTCTAATTTATCTTTATATTTAAATAAATTTAGATATTTATTGATAACAATTGCCAAACATTTTTCAAAATGCGATTAAAGTCGACCCTAGAACATTTTTTCGGGAGTTAGGGAAGGATCGCAAATGGAATTTCTTTTTCTTTTTTTTTACAACTCTTATAAATGTATTTATATTTGACTATTTTATTTATTTAATTTCAATTTCAATAAATTAACGTGATTCGTATGTACTATCAGCTTGCGTATGTGATAAACAAATGGCGAAATTGAATTTTTTAGCTTTTTCTTAGAAATTGATAATTTTGATGTGTTTCTCTTTAAGCCTTTCTTATTGCCCACGTGATTGTACATCAATAAAGTAGGCTGGTGAGCAAAACGAACAGGGTATGGAGCATTCTATAGTTTAGCATTGAAAAGTTCAAGTTAATTCAAAATTTTAGCTTATTAAATATCAAGACCCGCATTTATATTATGATTTTTAACTCTTTTGATTTTTCAGTAAGGGAGTACATGACCATCTTTATTTCTCTTAATTAAGATACACAAGAGGACATATCCTTAAAAGCAACATCTAAATAAATATGTTCTGTGAGGAGTTAATGAAAAAATATGTATATTATAATTTCGGTCTCCTCTCTATCTTTTCGTAGTAACATTACATTAATATTGTCATGACTGGCCAAAAACAAACATTTGTGATAAATAACACTCTCTGAAATTAATTAAATAGGAGTTCAGCGTACTATCAACATTCGTAATAATGAGGAAATGGATATGAGAGATGCCGCTCTCCGACAGGAAGTTAGCAGTCCCGTTAGCAAATCTATTCCATAATGTTCTTGGTAAACCCCCATCTTTCCGTATGTTGTTGTAGAAATAGTCTACCCTAAGACGTCCTCCAAGAAGTCTTGGAATAGATAAAGAAGAGGGAAAAATAAGACTGACGTTTCTTTCTGTAGGCGGAGTTTGAACGCAAATATCAGACAAATCAGGATGAGTTGAGTTGTATTTTTTTTCTTCTCGACTTTGACGAAGTTTGTAGTAACCGGGGGGAGAAAATAGCATCTACATCTTCGTGTTCCCAAAGAGCCATGTGACGAGTATTTCTTTTTTTTATTATTTTATTATTATTTTAATTTTTTTGACTTGAAAGTGTTGATTTCGTGTTTCTATTCGACTATCGGACTTGTATTACTGCTTGATATTCATTTTTTGGATAAGACTTGGTGAGGCGAAATTAATTTGGAAGTTGTGATCTCTCTTTTAAAACTTTTTTTCCGGATGTGCAGGATCTATTTGGGATCATGGGGTGTGTGTCGTCTGTGTTTCAGTATGGATCTTACGTTATAGATGAAAGTGAGATTATCTTGTTTTTTTAAAAATTAAATTTTTATTAGTTAACTGTACAAGATGCTTCTCTTATCTATTAATAGATAAACTCTTGCGCAAAGACAAATGTTTGCTTATTTTTTACCATTAGCTCACTTTATATAATTATGACCAGTATATTTTTCAATGAATGATAAATATTCTCTACAGATACATTAAAAAAGTAAATTTTTACAAGTCTTCTTTACAATATTCTTGATTCATCTATTGATAAGTAATAAACTGCTATGCAAATACAAATGCTTGCATATTTTTTTACATTAGCTTACTTTACAAATCATCTTTTATATATCTTTCAATGAATGATTAATGTTCTATAGATTCATTACAAAAGTAAATTTTTACTTGTTATCTTTGCAAGATCATTTTTAATTTTAGTATTAATAAATAATAAACAATAATTTGCTGGTTTTTTTGTACGTTAGCTTAGTTTACAAAATCATTCTTTCAGTATATTCTTCATTGAATGATAAATATTCTATACAAATATGTTTGAAAAAGTAAATTCATATTAATTATCTCCGCAATGTTATTCTCATTTTATCGATTAATAAGTTATAAACTCTTTTTCAAATACCAATATTAGCTTTTTATAATATTAGCTTGCTTTAAAAATCATGTTCAGTATTTTCTTTAACGATATGTTATACAGTTTTAAATTTTGCTTCAATTAAATTTGCAACAAGGCAGTTAACTACATTTACATTCTAATAAAAAGTATATTTTCGCATTTTATTTTGATTAAACTGAAAAATTTATAAAATCATGCGGAGTTTTACTTCATTGATTGATAAACATTCTATACAGATATGTATGCAATTTTAGATTTTGCTTTGATTATCTTTATAACAATAGTTTAACTAATAGTTAAACTAATAGTTAAATTAAGTTTATCTTATAACTTCTGTTCAATTATGTATCTATTTTCACATTTTATTTTGATAAGCTAAAAGCAGTGAGATATTATAAACAGTTTATTCTTCAATGTATGAGGAAAAAAATCATTCACAAATAGTAATACATTTTTACACTTCACTTTTATTTGTAGACTTTGCAAGATTTTTCTCTTAGTTTACCTTTTAAAAATGATAAATTATTATAAAGTCTTGTGTACATTTTTGAATTTTTTATAAGCTAACTTTAGAAAGTGATAATTGGCTTATCTATCAATAAATTAATAACACCTTTGCATTTCTGAATTTTTTAATTAGCTAACTTTAGAAAGTGTTAATTGGCTAAACTATGAATAAAATAGTAAGACCTATACAATTCTGTATGAGTTTTCTCATTTTTTTACAACCCTTACAAATGCATATTAAGTTTGCTTTTTAATAATGATTAATTATTAAATTATGCTTGCAATTTTTCTTTTTGCTTAGACTAAGTATTTCTACAAAACAGTATTCAGTATATGTTTTAACGAACGATACTCTCCTTGTCTAATATATGCACGATATGATTTAAAAGAAAATATAGAAGCCCGATCCTTTCATGAATGATATAACTGGAAATATTTCATCAAACGATAAAAAATAATTTGTTCATAATGAACTAAGCATATTTATGTTTTCATCATTAATATGTTTTAACATTATATTTCCGATAATCTTGCTTAAAAATTTAGTTATGCGTTTTATTATACAAAGAGTACAGAAAAATGCTTTTTTTTCTTAGAATGTTTGAGTTGTTGTTTAGAAAAAGCCACAAAAATATTTCATCGCTTATTGCAGGAAGTTTCATGTCATAACGGATATGTTTTGTATATAATTGGAGTAGAAAGAAAACACTTTTGCGAAAAATCAGGGAAGATTACCCTATGAAAAAGTTATGAAAATGTGACATTGAAAAAAAAACATAATTTACTAAACGTTTGCATACAAATGATAATATTTTTTCGGTTAGTAAAACTGATAATCACCTGAAAATATATTTCAATATATGCATGCATTTATCTGATCTGAGTGCATACAATTTTTTAAGTTTTTTTATAATTTTAAGTTATGTTTAGAAGCAAAAAATCATGCAAATGCAACTGTATGCATGCAAGTCATGTTAAACTGCATTATTATTAAAGTTTTTAAAGCCCAACTTTTTACACGGAAGTTTTTGCTATAGTCCATCGTAAATAGCGCATAACTGCAAAAGTTGCCGCCTACATCAGTGTGCGTTCGCAATTAAAACTCGAATATCGCAGGGTATTTTTTTATTTACGCATTTTGATATTTCATTTAAATATTGTTATGATTAACATTTTAGAATAGCCAATAATTAAATTTTTTTTGAAGCTATAGATATATATTACTCAAATTAGTTTCTTAACAAAAATGGTGGGATGTAAAAAAAGGAAGAAAAATTGTAATAATTACTCTATCCGTACGTTTACTACACACAAAGACACTTTTAAAAGTAGATAATAAAGCTACTGTTTGTGTCTTTAATGTTTTAGGTATTGCTTAAACATTTAACTATTAACCTTATGTAAAACAATGCTAAACTTTGATTAAAGTTGATTAGTATGTAGTTTAAATGCAGTTAAAATATTACATTTTAGAGTTTCGTTAAAATAAGCAAAACTTAAATACATTTGTATTTATCTAAGTGATAAAAGACACTGCATGCTTTTCATTTAAATAAGTAGGTGTTAACAATGGTAATTTAACATCATACTGTTTTGCTAAGAAGCTTGGCAAAATATTTGCAAATAGGATGTAGTTTAAGCCATTTGTTTCTTCACAGGTGAAGAATTTATTGCATAATAAATTTTTAAAGTCTTCATAAAGAAATTGTATTTCTATTTCTCGTTTGCTTTTGGTTTGTAAACATATGCTTATGATTCTTATTGTTGATTGTTCATATTTTTCTAGAGAAAGAATCTCTTGTAGAGGTTAAAAAAACCGTGATTTGGATACGAAAAGATTTTCTCACGTTTTTGAAAGTTTTGAAAAAAACTCATATATTTATAGTTTTGAAAATTAAATTATTTGCTCGGAATAAAGATTTTTCGTAATTGTTTGAGACATGTTGTTGAGATAAAATAATTCAGCTTCAAATAGTTTTCAGTGTAAGTCGTTTTCTAACTATGCACTTTTTGCATTTTTTTATGTAGAATAGTTTTTTTAATGTTCATTAATTTAAAGTTGTAAATAATGTACAATTTAAAAAAATGTCATACATTCTAAAGCATTTGATTCATAGTTTATATTCCAATTATATTATTTAATAAAATTTTATGTAAACGTTGACAAAATGTAGAAACCTATTACATTAGTTCATCGTACTTCGAGCTCTTTTACTACATTTAATGTTAGTTCATCGTACTTTATGACAAATATAAGTTAGCTCTTTTGCCATATTTAATGTTAGTTCATAGTACTTCGTGACGAATCAAAGTCAGCTCTTTTGCAATATTTAATGTATTATTTTGAGTTATCTCAAAAATAAAATTTGAAAAACACTACCTTTTTTTTAACAAAAATATTTAATTATGAAAACTTTCACACATGTTTTATAATTATGGAACATTTTTATTACATAATAACAAACTCATATTCTGGTCAAAAAGTGTTTATATTCTTAGTTATTGTGATAATCATTCTGTTATGATGTGATGTTTTTATTTATTTTTCTTAAATATAATTGAATTATAGAATAAATTACATTTACCATTGTAATTTAACAGCTTCATATATTTTTTTTAAAAAACTGTAAAAAAGCAATTGAAAACATGTCTGCGTAAAACAATACAGTTTAAATAATAATATTCTTATTAGATAAATTATAGCGCCATCGATGAATATTTAAAAAAAATATTAATCCACCGAATAAATAACATTAAGTTAAAATTCGCTGAAATTTCTAAATATTATTTGGATCCGAAAGTTATGTCATTTATTATTTTTAATCAATAATGTTAATCAACAACCTTTTAATGCCGGATCGAAAACGAATCAAAAAATATGAATTGGTTTTTAAGACTAACTAATATTTAATGCGCCGAAACGACATTACTTTCCGATTCCCCTAATACATAACGTTTAGTTGTACAGTGTTAAAAATTCTGGTCAAATTACGGTATCGGCACTCACGGGGCTGTTACTTTTATCAAGGAACAGAAAATATGATATTCCGTAATTTTTACAGGCATGATATTTTACAATAAAAACGGATTTAATGAAAAATGGATTTTATGGATGATTCACCCTAAGTGCCGATACTTTTTACAGGATAGTTGCTTTTAAAAAGGATAAAATTTCTGATCAAATGTTAAAATGATTGGAAAACACCCATTTTATTTAACATCTAATAGGTAGGTCATATAATAAGTCTCTTTATGAAAAGTGTAGGAAATTAATTAAATAGATACATAAAATCTGCATTGTTTTCTGGCAGTGATTGTCTTTCTTTTTGTGAAGAAGTTGATGATATTAGAATGTATAATGTTAAGTTAAAAATTAAATTATTCACATGAAATTATGTAACGATCTGAAGTCAGTTCTGAGTATATTTTTAAGTTTTTTTGAAGCTCGTAAGAGACAAAATAAATAGTTAAAAAAACTTCATGAATTACTTTGACTTTAAACTATTATAATGTCTTTAAGTTATGTCATTAAATGTTTTTTTTAAATAGGCGGGTATTTGGGATGCATTCATTAAATGTAAAGTTGAAATATTTTTTGAAAACGCATTTTAAAGTAATTCAAATGTGAAACAATTACACTTCGTGCCATTTTAAACACCATATTTAGTACAATTTATATTTTAAGATCTTCATTTATTCATAAAATACTTTGCCCTTATACAAATATAAATATTAACTTTTTTAGTACACTGAGAAAAAAAAAAGTATGGTAAAAAATATCAGAATCTAGTAAAGTTTACCGTATTTCTGGCTCTATGTGAACATCAAGAAACGCAATAATTTTTACCGAAGTTTTTGGCAAAGTTAACAATAAAATATGATTTATTAC